CACTCCCAAGGTACCATAATATATTAGTCTGGTTACTTTAGAGAAACAAATCCACAGAAACTCATGTATAAGAGAGAGCTTTATATAAAGGTTACGTGCACATCAAGAAAATATCCCAACCCAGTGCTGCCCAAACCCACAAGTCCAACATTAACCCATTAACACATTATGTGCAACCCCAATCCACAAAGTCCTCCTCCATCTCACAAAACAGATGCAATGACGCCGACTGCAGTAGGAAAGCCGAATCAGTGAATATGTAAGCATCTCAGCATTGGCAGGGGGCTCCATAGAACTGCTCTAGCACCCAGGGCTGCATTGGGGTAGGTCCATATGGCTTTTCCTTGGGGATGTCTTGCAGGAAGTCAGCCTTGCAAGCTGAAGCAGGGAACTGTGAAGGCAGCTGCACCCTGGTGTGACCATCACAAAGCAAGAGACCCGAGAACAAGAAAGGCGAGGCTCACTGAGCCATTTATCCCTCTGCCCTTCAATTAACTCTACCTGTGTTCATCAGCCAGGTTGGCACAATAAACTAACTCAAAACCCAAGGGGAGAATATATCTGGCACTAAGTTCCTAATTGGACATTTTTGACCTATTTCCTATCCAGCTCTTGGTAAACCCGTGCAATAAACTACTGGAACTTAAGACTCTGTTATTTTGAGGTACACAATATCCTTCATCAGCCACACTAGGAGAAAATGTGGAAACCCAACTCACCTTTAGCCCTTGGACTTAAGGATGAAACTTTATTGTGTGAGAAGTAGCAGAGGACTGCTATCCAAAGGGTACAGAACTGGTGGTCATTGAACTTTTTTGTGGGTCTCTTGCCTTCAGGATGCCCAATGGTAGCCCAGGGCTACAAGATATTTACTATTTTAATGCTCTTTGCTTTATTATGACATGAATTTAATCTATTAGGTGTTCTGTATTTGTGAATATTATTGAAAGTTTTACCCTATCACCAACCCCCATTGTTATATAAACAGTGCCCAGTCACTTAACAATTTAATCTTTACAAGTAATTTCACGTATTTCTGTGCTGTTCATAGCTGGCCTATACTCATTTATAATTTCATTTTCTCAACATGTTTACATTCTATAACATTGGCTAAGTTAATGACACTATCAATAGAATTATTACCTTATGCACCAGAGGGGGTGATTGATAATGTTCTCTAATGTAAAATGACAATGGTGTTTGAAATGTGAACCAAAGGCATATATAAATCATAGTCCAATGTATTTTGGACTTGTGCTTAATTCTAGCCCCAATCTAAGAACAATTGGATTTTTATGATATGGCCCTGCTTGGTGCTTGCCCTCATGAAAAGATCACTAAAGATAGGGGTACTATAGCAAAGTGTGGTGAAGAAACTAGATGGAACAGAGCTATCAGAAAGAACAGTGTCTGGGGTCTTAACAGTCTATCTGCCAATAAGCAGGCATCTAAGTGAGGAATCAACTAAGTTCAAATGGAAGAATCACACCAGCCTGTGTGATCCAAGGATTTTAAATTCTAAAACCCCAATCCAAAAGAGTTTAAATGCCAAACACCTAGTTTACAGAAGGCTATGGATGAAGTGGAAGCCCAAAATCCATTTACAAGGTCCCCACATGGATTAAGACCCCAGTGAATCCCCTTTGATCATTGTGGATGGATGTGAGTAGCCTTATTACCAGACAGAAAGTATTGCAAAGATGGTTATGGCAAATGTGATACCATTTGATCTACCCTTTGACCCATTTTTAAGTAATAAAAACCAAACTTGAAGGAGCGAACGATATTTGAGCCTAAATCCTGAACACTCCTTTTGGAGAACGCTCAGGATGATAATAGCACAAAACCCATTTGCAGGTTGCCCCTTGTGGGTTAAGCCTCAGGTGAATCCCCTCTGAGTATGAACCAAGGATAAAAAAGTTTTGTAATCAGACAAAATACATTAAAGGACCGATCACTGCATTTGTTGTTAGGTCAAAATGTCATTTGTTATTTTCACTCCATTCTTAATCCAATGTATAATTGTTCCCGTTTTCAATATTTTTTACTTTGTATTTGATTGAGGTTTTTCTCTGTTTCATTCTGATGTTGTTTGGCCATATTTGCTTTGATTTTGTTTCTCTCTATATGAAACCCAGGATAAGTAAACCTATAGAGCCAACTGGATGAATAGTTTCAAAGGGAGCTGACAGAGGAGGCTGGCAGGAATAGTAAATAAGAATGAGGAAGAATAAACGTCCTGGCATTGATAGTGATGACAGGTGCTCACTCTTATGGATGTGATTGAACTAGTGAACTAATATTTTCGTGAAATGTATGGTATGGGAATTGCATGTTGGGGAAACTGCCAAAAATAATTTTTGGAAAAGGTCAACAGTGAAGGAAGCCAGTCCAAAGATATTGCCTGAATCATACAGTAAATAAGCAGCAGAACTGGGTCTAGTGCTTGGGTCATCTCCATCCTCACCCAGCACTAATTTATAACACTTAAAATGTATTCAGTTGTAAAAAAGCAAAAAAAACAAAACAAAACAAAACAAAAAACTCCCACTGACTCACATAACTGAAAAAAAATTAGAAAGGAAATATGCACTCAGGGTTCAAGGGCATATGGGTGGTATATAAAGTGTTTTTTTATCGCTTTTTGTACAAAAGCATCTAAATAAATTATTAAAATAACTCTTGCTATTGGTAGTTCTCTACAAGCACCTGATTTAAAAATCAGTTCTCTACAGAGCACTTGATTTTGGACCTCTGGCAAAGCAGGACTATGTTATCGGTTTGGTGAGGCTTGTTTCATGTTTATTTCTTCCAAATGCCTTGATTTAATACTATCTTTGATTTAGTATCATGTCTCTTTTTGCATCACTAACCACAAGACTGATATGATTAGGCTTTAAGATGACCCCCACAATCCTTGCCTCCTGCAGATGACATTTTTGCACATGGCCTTCTGCTTGACCTGTGACTTCCTTCTAACCAAGAAAATATGGCAAATGTGACAAGATCTCACTTTCATGCTTATATTAAGACTACGAGCTATATCTTCTAGAAGACTCTACCCCTTGAGGGCTTTGATGAAGGAAGGTGCTATATAAGAAGCCCTACCCCATAATGTAACTGGCCATTTTCTATTGCTGCTACCAAATTGCCACACAGTAAGTAGACTAAAACAGCATGCATTATCTTGTAGCTTTCATAATGCGGATGTCTGGGGATTGCTTACATTCATCCTCTCACCGTGATCTTTCATTGGTAGCCTGTAATTACAGTTTCAGCTGAATTATAGTGTCACCTAAAAATTGGTGTCCTCTTCAAGCTCACTGGCTGGGCTAGAATTCAGTTCCTTATTTTTATAGGTCTGATCCACCCAGGTTCAAGAGGCCACCCACAATTCCCCGGCAGATTTCCCTCTCCATTATGTAGCAGTGTGCTTCTTCAAAGGCAGGAGAGAATCTGCTGTTTCAAGTCTCTCTGACAGTGAGTTTGGTTTGAGACTTCCTCTATATCTGGTCTCTGGACCTTATTTTAAGATTCCCCTATTTAAGTTAGACCCATCCAAGGGAATCTCCCCTTTAAGTACTTCAATGTCAATGAATTAGAAGCTTTACTTACATCCACAAAACCACTTCACCTTTTCACATAATGTAACCTAAACAGAGAAATGATATACCATCACATTTATAAGCTCTGCCCATACTCAAGGATTTTTACAGGGTGTATATTACCTTACTACAAAATCAGCAGCTCAAACACATCAGCCCCTCAGTGGGAGAGATATGACACTCCCAGCTCCTGTAACAATTTACAGCCCCAGAAACTCTAAGGAGCAGTTCCAATGTATCATAGAAAGTCACTATAATTTGGATGGTATTGACCCAATGGCCGTAGGTTTACTTTTGGTTGGGCAGTACAGGTGGGAATCCTAAGGGCCATCATAGCTGGCAGGTCTTTGTACCACTTGTGAGCTTTACTTCCAAATGGCTCCTACTGTTTATCTTTCAGTAAGTATTTTTGCAATGCTCTAATTTCACAGCATTAAATTTACCATTAATAAGATCGAAAATCTACTAACTGTAATATTTACACAAGATTTCACATCACATGTACTCTAGGTGTGAAGATGGATTTAGTGATGGAAGAATAAAATGTCTTATTCCAAAGGTGGAATCTGGGAAATAAAGATAGTTTTTCCCATTAAATAAAAAGAGTTCTGGTGGCGTGGTGCAATATGCATTGGCATGATAACCTCAAGGTCAGCAGTTTGAATCTAACAGCTGCTCCCTGAGAGAAAGATGTGGCTTTCTATTCCTGTAAAGAGTTCCAGTCTTGGAAACCCACAGGGCAGTTCGACCCTGTCCTATAGGGTCTCTATGGGTCTGAATCGACCTGATGGCAGTGAGTTTGGGTTTTTGTTGCTGCTGTTCCATTAAGTAAGTAGCACCTGTGAGCATAGGAAAGCAATGTTTATGTTTGAGGACACTTAATAGCTCTATCCCTCCTATTCCCTATGATAGAGCATTGCATGAATGAGTCATGAGCTATATTTGATGACCACTGCCCTGGTGATATAGTGGTTACATGTTGGGTTGTGATCCACAGGTGGGCAGTTCGAAATCCCCAGCCACTCCAAGGGAAGAAGATAGAGATTTCAACTCCTGTAAACAGTTACAGTCTTGGAAACACAAGGAGGTTGCTATGAGTCGGCATCGACTCGATGGCAGTGAGAGTGAGAGAGTGAGTCAATGTTATAAGGAGCCTGAGTAGTACTGTTGGGTAAGTGTTGGGCTGCTATCCACAGGATCAGCAGTTCAAATCCATCTGCCACTCTGTGGGAGCTAGATGAGACCATAAAGATTTATAGCCTTGGAAATCCGATAGACTCTATAGTATACAGCATAGATTCCCAAACTTATTTGGCCTACTGACTCCTTTTCAGAAAAAAAAAAATTACTCAGCACATACCTGGAAATTAAAAACTTTTATACTATAGCCCATAATCCAGGATAAAGTATGGATACATGCTTCTGCAACCACCCTATATAGTTCCAGTGCCTCCAGGGAGCAGTATCACCCACTTTGGGAAACATTATTATAGAGTGTGGCCAAGAGTTGGAATCAACTCACTGGCAGTGGGTATTGGTGGGTCAATGTTAAAGGAATTTCAAATGAGCAAGCTATGTTCTGTTCTGTTCTATGGTGACTACTAGTGGGATGGTTAAACATTCCGGATAGTACAACATCTGCAAGATGTTTTCATGTCAAGTCACTTCCCTAAAGAAAGCAGGAAGCAAAGAAAGTTCACAAAGATGTACTGCTAGCAGTTACATTTGGTATTTCCTTGATTCAAGTCAAGACAGCTTGCTTCCTCCAATATTTTAAATTTAGGTAAATGCTTTGCCCCAATTGTGTTAATTATGAACTCCAAGAACCTCCAAATTTAGTCCTACTCATCCATTTTAACAGTGGAACCAACTAGAGATCATTTATTAAAATATGCTTATTAGAAACAATTTTGTATTGAGTTTTAAAAACTGCAAATACATTAAAAAAAAACTACAGTGTCATGAGACTGAAAACATTGCCTTGCAAAATTAGAAAGAGGTAAACTTGTATGTAAAAACTAGGAAATATCTTAAATCTTTCTTACAAAAATATACTTTTTGAACAAATTGCAACACTGAACAGTTAAGGCCACAACACTTGGACGGGAGTCTGAGATACACATATTTTTAAGTTGTCTGTTAAAAAATAGCATAAATAAATACCAAACCTGGTCGTACTAGTCACATAATACATATTAAGCCTAACTTTAAAAATATCTTATCAGGATCTTTTTTTAGAAGTTATATTGTTTTTCAAGTATAAAGTACATTGCATTTGGTGACCACAAAGACAGAAATACACCCTTAGAGTATTGAACAAGACTTTGACTTTTGGTCCTCATTTTCTGATGCAGTATCATTAGTATTTTGTCCCATGTGGTTCTGGTTAGCATCTATTTTGTTTCCTTTAAAAAATATTTGATCTCCTATTGGTCTTATCTCTGGGAGTGGCTGGTTACTATTTTTATGACTTGTCAGTGACATCCTTTTAAAGAGAAAACCCTAAAATTAAAAAAAAAATCAGTAAGAAGAATGATTTCAGAAAGAGATACGTGATTAACAGTATTTAGGCGATAGCATTTCCAACAAGTGTTGACATTATTTCATGGTCTCTTAACAGCGTTCCACGTGTATCAGGGCATACATATAAGCTTTTCAGTCTCTTTTCTTTTACCAAGGCCAATCATGCTTCCAACCTAAAAGAAGCTATTTCAGGCTTTAGCCTTCAATAATTTCAACCTATCTTTTTCTTAAAAAAAAAAAATCTTGCTAAATATCCATATCTTGACACTATCTTACCATTTTTGCTTCATAGAAGAAACAAGAGTATTTTTCATATGGTTGTATTGTCTGAAGGAGGTGGGGGAAACTGACAACTAGGATCAAGCTTATTTTAACTTTTCAAGGTAACAAAGATAGCTCATTTTCAGGGGTCTCTTTGTGATTCCCAACTTAGCAGCAGCAGCAGCAGAGAAATTGCTACTGTTCTATTCTGGAGGAGGAGGAAGACACCCCTCCCCATTCCTACAGGTCAGAGCTTTTGGAGAATGTTCATGCTGCAGCGATGCAGCAGAGAAATAATAGATGGAGATATGTGAGTTGATCCAAGGACCCAGGATTTCCAGGCAGAGTGAAAGGAAAATATAAGAAAAGACAGTGAGGGAGACCAAAGTGGAAGAGGGAGACCAAAGAAGAGGCAGCACTGAGTATTGAGCTGTGTAGGAGTGCGCTCTCCTTAATTATTCACTCCCTGCCACACAGTCGATTCTGACTCATGGCAATCCTACAGGACAGGGTGGAACTGTCCCAGTGAGTGTCTGAAACTGTAACTCTTTATGTATGCTATGTAAAGACATGAATCGCTTCATCCCAGGATGATAAAAAACAACGCTAATTTGAAAAAGCTTACTGCTTACTTCATTAACTTCCTTGGGGACAAATTAAGCCAGGACATGTTTTTGCTTGTTTGTTTGTTTTTAATTCTTATCATGACTCCAAATCTTAAGTATTGGCTGCAGTTTGGACAAGTCACATGTGGTGATTTCTAAGGAGTAGTGGTTACGTGTTGGGCTGCTTACCATAAGGTCAGTAGTTCCAAGCAACCAGCAACTCTAAGGGAGAAAGACGGGGCTTTCGAGTAAAGAGTTACTGTCTCAGAAACCACAGGGGCAATTCTATCCTGCCCTACAGAGGTGCTATGAGTCAGCATCGACTCTATGGCAGTGAGGTTTTTTGTTTGTCTTTTTATAAAGATCATAGCAGCTACCTTAAAAAAAATCATTTGCCAGTTAAAATCATGGGTTCAAAGCTGCCAACGGCTCCTCGGGAGAAACATGAGGCTGCTTACCCCCATAAAAGGGGCAGTTCTACTTTGTCCGGTGGGGTCTCTTTGAGTCAGAATCAACTCGATGACAGTGGTTGTGGGGTAGGTTTAACCTGGCAGATTCTGTATTGCAGCCACCAAGAATGCAACTTTCCTTTTTCTGGAATCTGGTTACGCATTGGGTTGCGATCCGAAAGACTGGCAGTTCAAAGCCACCAGCTGGTCTCTGGGAGAAAGGTGGGGCTTTCTGCTCCCATAGACTCACGGGGGGAGTGTTACCCTGTCCTATAGGGTCACTATGAATCAGCATTGACTCAAGGACAATTTGTTTGAGTTTTTTGATAATCTTTTAAGTTTTAAACTATCTTTGACGTATCTGTTTAATTAAGGGCAGGGGGAAGAACCTAAAATCCAGACATACGTTTATTTTGATAAGAGTTAAAGTATCATTTCCATTTCAAGGTTTGAAAATAAGTCTGATTTGTTTGATCAAATGTTGTAATAGGTTAGAAAACCTGAAGATTACAAAAAAAATCAGGTGAGAATTATTTTTTTAAGTCACATCAGTTATTTCCTCTTTAAAATAGCTATAACAGCAGCAGATTCTTCAAATAAGAAGCCTATTTGTTACAGTTTGACTTTTCCAAAGATAGTTTTCATTAATTTTGTTGCATTTGTTTCATCAAGGAAAATGTGTATTTTCTGAGATCAACTTTTCCATTAGATAATAATGAGAAGTTTTAAGTGGTAATCAAAGTTTATAACTGACTTCCTTAGCCTGGCCTTGGAGCCCTTAGAACAGTATTCTGGGAGCTCTTATGACACAGTGGTTAAAGCCCTTAGCTGCTAACCAAAAGATCAGCAGTTTGAACCCACCAGCTGCTTTACAGGAGAAAGATATGACAGTGTGCTTCTATAAAGATTACAGCCTAGGAAACGTGATAGGATCACAAAGAGTTGGAATTGACATCACAGTTTAGGTTTGGTTTGGTTTGGTTTGATCTATGCCTGGATGGCACAAATAGTGTGCTCTTGATTACTAAAGGTTGGTGGTTCAGACACACCCAGCCTCAGAAGAAAATCTTAGCAATCTGCTTTCATAAAGTTCACAGCCAAGAAGGCATTATAGAATATTATGGAACCAATATGGAAGTCCTTCTCTAGAACACAAGGAGCCACCCTGAGTCAGAATCAGCTCAACAGCAATGAGTTTGTTTTTTTCAAATGTGTATCCTGGCCCAACTTCAGCATTGCTGTATTGACTTGCACTAGCACTTGGGCTTCCTCAGGCAAAGCACACTTCCCCACTTGACTCGGGCTTTCTAGCTCCTTGTCTCTTTTCACTCAAATTCTAACAACAGCCGATGAATGCTTGAGACTGATGAGTCTGAAAAGGTCCTGAAACTTGGCCATGTTTTCTCAGACACACATATTTCGTTTGGTCAGAGGTATGATTTAAATATTTCTTTTGCTATTTCTTTCATTTCCCTTTTACTCACTGTAGCTTCTTACATCTCTTCCTTCTCTTGCTTTTCATCTTCCTTCCTCACATTTGGTTTTCTTTGCCAGAATCTTTCCATGAGCTTTTAAATTTGGAAAAATAATCTTCATAGGAATGCCATGAGGTGTAGCATGAGTAGCTGTTAAATGTTCTGTTCTAGCAGATGGAGGATCTCAAAAGTTCCGAACTCTTGGTCAGGCAAATGTTCTAAGCAGATATGTTATAATTCTTAGGATAATAATGTTGAAGTAATCTTTAAGCCAGATCCAAATTCAAAAGATTTAATATAAAGATGCAAAAGGTCTGGAAGTGGTTTTTAGTAAGAGATAATATGGGGACCTATGCCATGTAACTTTCTAAATTTATGAAGTGATTCTGAAACGACTTTCAGTGTGAAATTCGGAAAGGAATTTGGCAAAAACCAAGCCTTTACTGCTCTGAGGGTTGCCCCTGGTTTTATCTCCTTCCTTTCTTCCTTACCCGCCCCCTTTTAATGTTAACATTCTTTTAATCAATCAAAAATATTTACTGTGGACTTGCGATGTACTAGACACTGCGGAATGCTAACCATACACTGGAGAGTAAAACAGAGACTAGGTTCTGGCCCCATGGTGCTGAAGGCAGAGAGTAAATAAATATACAAATAAGCATATAACTGCAATAGAGATCAGTCATTACAAATGCCACAAAGAATAAGAAAACGATGCTATGTGAGAGAATAATGAGACATGACTTAGATTGGGAGGCTTTTAGTCACCCATGACCTCTTGGTGGAAATGACATTTAAGCTGGGACCAGAAGGTTAAACGGGAATTAACAATGTTTTCCATTTTCCTTTCCTGCCATGTGTTCTCTTAACACCTTCAGTATTGAAAGGTGATCTCATATTTCAATAAAACTATTCTTCAAGTGAAAAGTGTAGCTTCTTTTCAAAGAGAAGAAATATCTCCATCAGCTCTCCCTACATCAATTCCAAAATAGGAAGTAGCCAGGGGACTCAAGGACCATGTTGCCATGGTTTCCAAGCACAACTGTTATTTATTTTTCATTGTTCTTCTCTATTAGCTTTACTTAACTCTCTTCTAGTCATTCCTGACCACTATATGCTTATTATTTAGGCAATACAATTTTACTGTGCTTTGATCCATGTTTTTATTGTCTAATGAATCAACATAGATGGGAAGATTGTGAGGAGCACACCATGAAATTTTGGTAGAGCAATCTGAGTCATAATTTGCAAATCCAATATGTAAACATGTACATTAAAGCTACAAACCACCACCTGATATTCTCCAGGTCACTTTTGGCCATAAAAACTCAGACTGTTATGTAGCTCACCATAGGAAAACTTAACCACGCAACTTAATACTATGGTCTTAATACAAAATGAAAAATTCATTTCACTTACCTTCTTCAGCTTATTTACGTCTGTACTAACTTCTTCTTTGTTTTTTAACGAGTCGTCTATGGGACAAGACTGCATCTTTCCTACAATAGGATACATTTATTTAGAAATATTTTTTCATTAAAAAGAAGGCGCTTACCCACTGGTATAGTAAACAATGTCTATTCAGCATGTATCTTGAAATTGGAGATAAGACCAAAAGCCCAGAATTACTTGATATGCTAGTTTATTACAATTCGATGTTGTAAATGTTTAGCTGGCCAGTGTCTGACAGTAGGTACACAGTTAATATAGAATGTTAGAGAAGATTTCTGTATATTAGAAATTACTTGAGTTTTAAAAAATTAACCTAATCAGTGAAATTTCTGAACTCAAATGAAATGTTATTGGCTTTTTTTAATGTTATACCGCTGAAAAATGATCTTTAAATTATGTTAGGAAGCTTTCAATTTGATATAATTAGCTACTTGGAGTTTATATTTACTATCTCTTAGGCTATAATGCTTAGAATAACTAGAAATAATAAATACTTTAATATTTTGCTCAAAACCTGTCTAAAAAGGACTACGATCTCTGGCGAAGTAGAAGGGGAAAAAAGGATCCAAGGAAATGATTCCTGCCTATGCTTCAGTTCAGCAAGCAAATATGATGGACAACTGCTTATAATGAGAACTTCACAGGAAGAGCACATTGCGGTGTGATGATGTGGAAAGGTGACCTAGGGGCATACACCAAAACTACAGATGATTTGGGTGGGAGATAGGGAGGTCTCAACGGAAATCACAATCTCCTTCATTCTGTGCACCTATTCTCTGACACCAATCGCTAAGCTTGGGAATGAACATCCCTTAAGAAGACATGGTCGAATTCAAAACTCAGGTTTAGGCTCTGGGGAAACAGTTGGGTGCTTGGCTGTGGTTCTTGATCAGCTTTGGTATCCAATTGGTCATTGGACCTTTGCTACTGGATCCAGTAATCCACAATAACCATCTAAATGGGGATTTGGGACAAAAGCTTGACTTAATAATACTGGTTGAATGAGGGGAGGGGAGGGGAGAGGAGTGGCAGTAAAAAAGGCTGTCCTAAATGTTTAATACTGACACATGAGCAGCCGTGGGTAATGTGAATTTTGTGAGTATGTATGAGGAAGCTATACTACGGTGGCTGATAATGAGACTGTCTTACATATCACATAGCTAGTGATAAGGGTCATATGACAGTGAACAGTATAAAATGGAACATATAGTAGTCAACTATGATTACCCAACTACATATAGACTTTTTACATGCTTCTGGAAGTCAAATGTGCTCACACCTTTTGGATTTTCATTGTATTCATGAATAGCCCGTTCTTCTCTGTTGGATTTTTCTTCCTATAGACAATAAAGGAACAACATTATTTGTGCTGTGCTAAAACTCTTAGGGTTTTTTTTTTAGCAAGATTCCCGTGTCTGTCTCTAGTTAACCACATAAACATGTGACAATTACTCCATTATCCGGGGTTCTTGAAACATGAGGAGCTTAGCTACTGAGAGACTATGCTAATGTCCCTCCTAGCTGAAATGATATGATAGAAACAAACTATATGGTTCAATAATTCAACTCAAAGATGATTTAGGGGCCCTACTTTGTTTATAGATTGTCTCAACTTGTTAAGTGGGAGTTTAATACTTTCTCATGCTCCAAGAACTTTAGGGACCACCCTGGTGTGAACCCATCCATATACGTTTCACATAGTATCTCCCCCCAACCTGCCCATGAAAGATAGCAATAACTGTTAGCTCTTTAGATCTTCTGTAAAAGGGAGTAGTCATGGAAAAAGAAGGAAGAATGAAAATTACCTCGATACTAGTTCATAAGTTAAAAATTCACATGCACACAAAACAACAAAGCATGCTTTAGAAGTACACATTCAAACAAAAGGACAGACATTTCAGTGGTTGTCTGTGATGGGGCAAGGGGAATGGGCATGGGGATTAAAGGGAACATATTATATAGAGAGGTAAGGACCTTGCATTGATCAATGACAACAGTGCTTCCTCCACTAAAAGGCATGAAGAACTCAGTGTTCTACACGAGGTCCAACATTGAACATGAAAAATCCATTTGGATTTCTGAATTCCATGCCTCTGATCTGTATTCAGACTAGTGTGAGCAAACTAATGACATCAAACCCACCAAGTATTCCCCAGAAGGGCCACTTTTAGGGAAAGTGCCATAAGGATGCAACATACTTTCAGGATAACTGTTATCTCTTCCTCAGTTATACCATCAACTATTCATCCATTCTTCTGGGCTGCAACTATGAAGGACTCATCATAACCTCAAAGACGTCTCAAACAACTTTCATTTATATGTCCCTACACATGTCAATATACACAAATCTGCCTGCACATATACACCTCATTGTTGCCATGAGCACCAGGGCTCCCAGCATTTCAATTCCATAACCCCAAGAATCCTGGGTTGTACCTCTGGGTTAATTTCTCATTAGTATACTATACTGCTCCAAAACAATTAACTTCTACATAGGTCAGCAAGCAGTGTGGAAACAGTACTTGAGACAAAGTCCACCTGATTCAGAAATCTGAACAAAGTTTTTCCTATGGCACATGGATGAAGTTATTTATAGAAGTATTTGAGGTTGAGATATTTTTTGCCCTCAAAGGTCACTGGATATGCACTCTGTAGGGAAGAGGGGTTCCATATGCTTGCTCTTGGGTAGGACTCTCAGGAGCCAAGGACCTATCATCATACCATTTCAACAGTTTTCATTGTGCTGCAACTGGCTTGTTCTGCCTCACTGGGGTCATTTGATGCTTCATTTGGAACCACAGGAACGTTTTCATTGACTTCCACGGGTTCCTCCTTGCTGTCTATCTGTTCCTGGGTACTCTCCTCATCCGTATCATCTAAATCTGTTTCTTCATTATCCAAAGATTCTTCAACCTGTGACAAAAATGAAAAAGAGTAAGGTTTTCTTTTTTTTAAATGAGCAATGCTGTACTGCTATCATAATATATACTGTCTCAAATAATACATACAATACTAATTCAAATATCGATGTCAAAGAAATAAAATATAGCATAGTCCAACAGTGTATGCATGGCGCTGTATTTTAGCATTTTCAAAGACTAGGAATTCCAAATTTTACGGTAACTTTAAAGTGAGGACAAAAATCAAACATGTCTTCTTGGCTATCTTGAAAGAATGCTTTTGAAGCCTAAGAAAAGCTTAAAAGTTCTATTCCAACTGTAGCATAACATAATATCTACATGTGTTCATTTTTGCCACATCATAAGGATTTAGAGCACTTTTAGAAGTAATGCTTCGCTGATAATTACATTGAGACAAATAAATATCGTTCTATCTACATTCCAGGACAAAAGATCATGGGGCAGGGAAAGTTTACATGATTTGCTCTTCTATCTAAAATAGAGAGAAAACCAAAAAGGAGAAAGAAATTGGTCTACCAGGCTCCTGGATTGTTAATACAAATAATAAAAGAGCCTATCTTTGCATTTTACAAATTATAATTATAAATTATTAAAAATATTTGCATTTCATACATAATGGGTATCTTGTTATGCCATTTATTCTATGGTGAAATTTTGGGGGAGAGGGGAAGTTTCTTATTTCAGAAACAATACTGATTATTGTTTGTCAATAGATTAGGCCCCTTACTAGAGTTGTCCCCTCTATTTGTTGTCCCACTTCACTAAAAGTATAAATCCCTTATATAGATGAGAGGTCATCAATGGCTTTAGCTCTATCAAATAATGTGCTCATATGTGCACTTATTTGCCAACTTTTTAAATTTTTTATAAAGTTTAGATAGGCAGTATTTGTATCAGACCTTCTATTTTATATCTTCTTGACTGCTCTAATACATTTTTGTGTGTTTTACTTCCTCTTTGGCTCAAAATAAAGCTAGATGGAAAAGAGGATCTTTGGTGGGTGTGTTTTAAAAACAAGGGCTCTAGTAATCAAATCCTCTTCTTTTTTCCCCAGCCAAAATACAGAATGTGAGATATTAAATATTTCACACCTTAATAACAAAGACCAGTGGCATCCTTGGACCAGCAGCATTAAAGGATCTAATAGCATTTCCACTGAGGAGAGGTAGACCTTCAATGAAATCTTGACATTTAAAAACAAAATAACCCAAACACAATGTTACAGGGGTTACTCTAGGGCAGTGGTTCTCAACCACTTTAATACAGTTCCTCAAGTTGTGGTGACCCCCCAACCATAAAAGTATTTTCGTTGCCACTTCATAATTGTAATTTTGCTACTGTTATGAATCGGATGACCCTGTTATGAATCGAACCACCCACAGGCTGAGAACCATTGCTCTAGGGGGACTTGAGTTGGGTTCATAAAACGTCATGAGGAAGAAGGGCACAGTGCACATAGCTAGATAAAAGGATGTGCTACTTGGGTCGGTTGGGTAAGGTTAACCACAAGGTAGCTACTATTTATCAAAAAACTTCTACAAGCAGGGGTGTCAAACTGGCAGCCTAAGGGCCACATGCGGCCCCTGAGGTAATTTTCTGTGGCCCATGATGATCTGAAATAAAATGAAAATAGAAAAAAAAACTTGTTAAGAAGAAAATAGCGCTTAGAGGAGATTGAGGCAATACTATACACACAATTCCCTCGTTACATTTTATTTCATTCAAAGCATCGTGGGCCACAAGATAATACCTCAGGGGCCGCATTCTCCTTTCTGCCTGAGTCCCTTCTCTGAGCAGCTTAGAGATTATGTCTACCCAGATGCAGTCTATGTATAGCTGAAAAGGTCAGAGGCTATTTGACTTTAAAGGAAAATCAGAAGCGAGATCACTCGATTTCAGTTCTAAGGCTGGAACGCAGAGCTTTTCATCAATGTACATACAATGTACATACAATGTACATAAAAGGACAGAAAGCAACATGCTGACCATGCCCCACTCTCTCACAGACAGAGGCGTGGCCAGCTATGCTCCTAGCAGACTCCTCGATTCTTTGGGGCTCTCAGCTAAATGTACCACCTGGGTCAAAGCGGATCCCGTCTGTTAAGTACAATATGAAGGTAGCCGGAGGATAAGCCCATTGCCATTGAGTTGATTCCGACTCCCAGCAACCCTATGTAGGGTTTCCCAAATGGGAAATCTCTAGGAGCTTTACAGCAGTGCCCAGCTTCTCCCAGTGCCACTCGCACTCCTTCATAGGATAATATTCAATATAAAAAGGAATTTGGAGGTTTGTCTCATTTTAAAATTTAGAAAAATACTCATCTCTTTTATAAGGAACTGCAATTTTACTCACTGACTCAGAGAATCTACAAGGGGGTACCCCCCAAAACCGGGGGAAAAAATTGCTGAGTGGAGCTTTGGTAGTACACATTTTTCCTGCTAGCCGAGCATCGAACAACTCGTTCTGAGTTAGTGCACCCAGTGGTGTCAACTGGAAGGGTTCTCTCTGGTCACGGTGAATTTTTTCATGAAAGCAGTTTTGCTTGAACCTCGCTTTTTGTGATGGCTGATTTAAGAGAACAACGTGTGGATATGAAATGTTGTTTCCTGCTCAGGAAAAATGCCACAGAAACTGTTGTGATGTTGAACACAGCATACAAGTACAGTGCTATTGGCAAAAAAAAATCAAGTGTGTGAGTGGTTTTCCAGTTTCCAAAAAGGTGAAATGTCGATTGATGACAAACCTCATTCTGGAGATCCGTCAACTTCCCCAAAGGACAAAAATGTCTACTCATAGTGCCTTTGGAGTTCATTCTACCAGCTCAGACTGTTAATCAAGCTTTCTATTTGGAGGTTCCGAAAAGACTGCATACCAGTGGGCAACAACAAAAGGCCTGATGTGTGGTAGACGGGGGACGGGTTTTGCTACCACGACAGTGCACTTGCTCACACAGCCATCTCAGTACGCCAATTTTTGGCAAAAAAAAAGAATATGCCTCTCTGGCCCCACGCACTATACCCATCTGACCTCACTCCCTGTGACTTGTTTTGTTTCCACAAATGAAGAAGAACATGAAGGGACAGTGATTTGATGACATAGAAGTGAAGGAAAAAACAAGGGCAGTGCTGTCAGCCATCCAAACAGACGAGCTTAAAAAATGTTTCCAAGAATGGAATTGCAGATTTGACAAATTAAGTGTAATGGAGAATGCTTTGAAGAAGACTGTTTTGTAAAAAAAATTTAAATACATAGCTTTGAAAAAAGATCCACCTTTGGTGTCCCTCACCTACCAAAGACGAATTCTTAGAATGACATCATTTTCTAAATTTGTGAAAGGGATTAGAAAATGGGAGCCCCAGGGTGACCCAGTGGTTCTGCACAGGACTCCTTAAGGGCCGGCCTTCTAATGGGAAGGTTGGCAGCCTGGACTCAAACCAGAGAAGACAAGCCTGGTGAGCTGTGGCCAGAAAGCTGCCAGCCTTGAAAATCCAACGGAGCAGTTCTACCCTGCATGCAATGGGGTAACTAGGAGTTAGAATTGACTCAAAGGCAACTAGCAACAATAAGAAAATGGCATTTTCACTAGAAATACCATCATCCATTATAGCCCTCTGCGCGTATCAAGCACATTTGAAAGGCCTCTAAATACATCTGGAAATCTACTTGAAATCATATAGAGCACTTACCTTCACACTGAAACAATTTAGAAGAGATTGGCACAATACTGTCATTTTATAAAAAGAAAGGGTTAACGGTTCAATATATCTTTGGCATTGGGACCTTAAGAAGATATAAACAGGTAGTTGGGGAGGGCCAGGTAATCATCTAGGATCCCATGAAAGAAGTAACTGGGTCTGGCCTGCCACAAAAGGCCCCTTGTCTCGGTGATCACACAGAGCACCAGCGCTAGAGGCCTGGGGCTGGCCTAGGGCAATACACGTTTTACATTTCTCATGGGGTTTCAGTTGACGTGAGCACACATTTCCATTGCATGCTCTAAGAACTAGAGATGGCTGTTAGAATTCCATGTGGTGGCTATCCCTTGGGGATGGGAAAGAGCTGGAAGGGGAGCAGATACTGGGGTGCTTTGTTTTGTTTTTTTGTCTCAGTTCTGACCAGACAGGTGTGCTAAATCTATGAAAAGGTATCGAGCTGCATGTGTATGTGGTGTGGACTTTCCTCTCTATACCCTATACTTCAATGGAGGGTGTTTACAGTAACAAAAACCAACAGAATACAGATTCAAACATAAACCATGCACCTGCATTTCAGGATTTATGACAGGGCTCAATATCAGAGAGGGTAGAATGTCTTTCCAAATAGTGAAATAAAGCATAAAACCTTATAGCTAAGTCATGCCTGGTGGGGAAGTACATGTTACACACTCTCAATTTCAAGTTCTTTTAGGACAGAAACTACTCCCACACAAGTTCATGTTTTAGCTTGAGTAAGAATAGTGATAGGATAAGAGAGAGTGAGCAGAGCATTAAATACAAAAACCTATGGACAGCTTTCCAAGTGTAGACAGGGCATCTCTGAATGTATGTTGCAGTTTATCTGGAAATGCTACGGGGAAAGAATATTAGCAACACCTATCCTGGACAGTTTGTATAAAGAGTAAAGAGATTACCAGGACATTAAGCATATAAGAAAACCATGCATATTTGTATGAGTGCATAACATTGAGAAATGTTGTATAGGCCCTGCCAAGAAAAAGCAATATGAAATTGCTACCATGCATTTGAGGATTATCAGAGAATAAAAGGCTTATACCAATGGTTTGTGCAGGGGCAGTGAGTCATTTAACGTGGCTCTTCTAGCCCAAATCTCTAACTCCACCAAAGGACGTTTCCCTGCTTGGGCCTGGTAAGAAGGTGGTGTGTGACTGATAGGATTCACCTGTGCTTAATTGCAAACAGAATTCCCATCCCGCTGTGTATAAAACGAGCCCTCTGAGAAGCAAGAAGAAGAATCTCATTACTAACAAGAGC